CAAGCTTTAAATTTTCCGGTCGTTAAAAAAACAAAACAAAAAAAAACGGTCAAATACGGAAAATATTTGGTTAACGCGACCTCTGGCTCTGAGTGTGTTCTTCAAGCAAATGTCGTTTTTTGATACTGTTACTAAATGAATCTGATTAATCTTTTCAACAATAATTTTCATCTACTTTCATTACTGTGGATCCAAAAAGTGTCAACAAATTGTTTTAAGGAGGTAAAAAATTAAATGAAAATAATTCATTTTTAAACTTAATTTTCTAATTCCTATATAATCAACCCAAAAAACAAACTAGAGGGAAACCGTAATGAACATGTAATAACTTGCATGTGTGTCCATCATTTTGATTCCAACTGTGTTTATTATGACAGCAATTTTTTATTCCCATTTAGCCTTAGTTTCTTAAGACATTTTTTAACATGCAGCACCGGGTCCATTAATGATTAAAGACACTGACATGAGGGCAGAACTACTGAGGTCCAGTAGTTCTACTGGATGTTGTGAGAGGAGAAGTGGACTTAGAGCACCTGCTCCTCCTCCAGCCCCTTCTGGACCGTGTCTATGTACTGCTGCACTGCCATGTAGATTAGCTTATGAATGGCTGAAATGTCAAACATTCTAGATTTCTGACAGACCACAGCTAACATTTCATCTAGTTTCATCCCGTCAATTTAGTTATCGTTAACAAAAACAATGAGTAATTCATTGTTACTCATTGGTTTTGTTGTCCTACGCTCAACATTAATTTTTGTACCAGTTTATTTAATACAAACTCAGCTAACTTTGGCAATCCTACAAAAAAAATCTTGCTCACACAAAAATCATTTATTTACTGAAAGCAAAGCTGCTGTTTTCTATCTGTGAAAATCCGTAAAGTTTTCATTTCAAGAGACATTTGTTTTTCTTGGCATATGATCCAGAGCTTTATGTTTTGGATTTTTCACTTTCCCCAGATGACATTACTTTCTCCCTTTACTATAATCACTAAAGTCCAGCTGATTTAAAGTTTAGAGCTGCACTGAAACAGCAGCTTCGCTCCTCAGCTGGGCACTTTCACAGATAAAACAGTTTCCTGCTTCAATCTAAAGCACTTACCAGGAGGCAGATAAGAGAGAAGCAGGTCTACAGTGGTCATTTTATCTCCTGGTGTTACTACTGAACGATGCCTGGGGGGTTCTGAAGTTTATATTCTCGTACACGCTCGAAGAATCATCATTTGTCATTCTGGAAAACACCAGCAGAGATATTTACCGTTAGCGCTTGCTGCTAATACTCAATGATCCATCATGTTCCAGTTCCTGTGACACGCACACTGAAGACGACCTGGAGGACGCCATGTTGTGCTTAGACCTGGAGTTGGTCATCTGTGGATACTTGATGTTTGAATATTCTCTCTCCTTCTTCTTCCTCTGAAAAACAACAAAACGTCACACAGAGACTTTATGAATGCTGGATGCTGTGAGAGGAGAAGTGGACTTTCAGAGCACCTGCTCCTCCTCCAGCCTCTTCTGGACCGTGTCTATGTACTGCTGCACTGCCATGTAGATGAACTTGTACTGCGCCTCAGTCTGGACCATGCCGGACCGTTGCTGCCGGACCATCTGGATGGTCTTTGGGATGTCAATGTCACAGTCCAGCCCTGGACCAGAAACACACACATGAACCAACATCCAGGAGGAAACTCCAGACTCATCAGATTCCTTCCCACCTTGGCGGTTGATGATGTCAATGAGGATGTCGATGACAATGATGGTGCCGGTTCTGCCGATGCCCGCGCTGCAGAGGCAGACAAAGTGTTTGAAATTAATAGTAAAATACAATTCTAGCTCTCATTCCGGTGTTCTGTCAGATCAGCATACATTGTCAGATAATCATACGCTTAGCTCAGTCATGTATATGCAGTCATTACCATATGATTTTATTTAATCAACAACATAGAATCATGACGTAGATCATCATACACTTTGTTATTAACAGTTGTATGGCATCCTGACTTAGCGGTTAATGAGTTTTACACGGCGTGTGTTGTAGTTGACTGCAGCTGCAGCCAGACCTGCTTTAAATACACTTTGAAACCACGACAACGCATGTATATCTATATAGTTATCATATTATATGATAATATTAAAAATTTAATGACTTATTTTCGTCATAACTTGTTGCGTATGCTGAACTGACAACTCCACTGATGGTCGGACTTCTTAATGCGCATGCGCGGGCATGCGTACTGACTGCATGTATGCTATCCTGACAGCGTAGGGCTATCTGACAGAACACCGGCAGTAGCATTGAAATCTATTCATCTATAATGTTTTCTCATAAATATGTCTGAAACAGGGCAACCAATAAGCTATCAATGATTCAGATGATTGGTCCATTAATTGGATAAAAAAATTGGCACATTCTGCAGATATTTCACCAGCTAAGCTTATTTTAGTTGTAGAAATACATTTAAAAGATCAAAATAACAACTTTTTTAACTTAAATGCAATAACTGCTCTCCTTTAGTGAACACTTCATGATCTGCAGCTGATAAATACTTCAAACATCAACATGTGAAAATCAATACAGAGTAAAGCAAAAGGTGAACCTGATAAAGTTAAAACTTCTGACTTATTTACAAAAATTTATTTTTCATCTTAAGTGGAAAATGTTTATATTTATGGTACAGGTTTTGATTTTGCTTAATCCCTGTAAAATATTTTTTTGAGTCAGTATGATCCAATTAATGATAAATTAAACACTAAATGATATTGATCACAGACAATAACAACATGAATTAAGGCAGCAGAGTAGTAGAAGTAGGAAACACTGCCACCTGCAGGTGGGAGTTCATCACTTAAATCCCATGTTTTTGAACATTTTGGCTGAAAATTCACAATAAGTCAATAAACATGCATTAGTATGACGGAACTGGATCTGTTGATTCTGTGCGACTTTCTGTTCAAACAATCTGGAAGGACTGGTTCATGTAAATTAGCAGTATGCAGGTAGAAGCTATTTGATAAAATAATATGGACACATCAGTTAACTGGAAGGGTTCATTGATGGGTCCCTGAGGAATCCCGAGGGCCACATAACAAGCTCAGTGGGCCAAATCCAGACATGAGAAAGGTTAGAAATGAGACTGTTCTCGTCACATTTCCATAAAATATTCGGGTAAATAATTTCTCCTGCATTTAGAAGCGAGGCGCTGCTTTGTGTCACTTTGTCCCATTAAAGCAGCTCGATCTGCATGGCTGTCTGGTCAGAACAACAGAGGAATCGCTCCACTGCTGTACACACTTTCCCCAGATGACTTAAAAACATGGCTGCTGATTTCAACACTTCTAGTGGCTTCCTGAACTCTGGAAAGTCTTTATCTGTACAGTCTGTCCTATTCTCTTCTGTAGATCCTCTAAAAAGAAAAAGCATGTGCCCACAGCTTCCTGCAAGCAGCTTGTGAAGCTTTGGTTTTTTTGTCCGGACATTTCAGGGAGGATGAGAAACTCTGAGCTGAAGCTGCTCTGGGGACTTTGGCTGATTCCACATTTATCCAGGGAGTCTGTTTGAGCCAGATCGTGGAAACATTCAGCAGAACCAGCTGCTAACACACGCACTGCAGCTCTGACAGTATCGGTGCGATTCACCTAAAGACAGATGTCCTCATATATTCAGTCTTTATAATGACTTCATAAAACATAGTAAAAAGTAGTCATGCATGTTTTATGATGCTCCACCTGGATGGCTGTGTTTATTCAGCGAACCAGCAGAAAGTTCACAATTTTAGAGCCAAGAACTGACTTTATGTATCAATATAGATTCACTTCAAATGTTAAGCCTCATTCATGAAGATGAGCAGAATTTAGTGAATTCACCAACAGGAACAAGTTGTCAGGTTCTCCGTCATTTCAGTTTCTCAAGATACTCCATACTTTATATTATAGTTGTACTGAAATTAAACTTTAGATATTTGACCTGAGCCCAACCCAGCCCAGTATTTGGGTGGAGTTCAGGCATTTGTGGCACATTTCATTAGCCTGCAATACATTCAGCACAGAGAAAACCAAATGATAACGAACAATATAAACTATCTACTCCTCCATTTACACTATTAATTGAAAATGGAGGGGTAGATAGTTTAACCTGTTAAAGAATTAAAGGAAGTAAGTAGAGAAGAAGTTAATCAGAGTCCACTGTAATGATGAGATCCTATCAATCACACATCCCAGATGATTTGACATTTTCAAATAATTTGTTGCTTGCTGCAGCTACAACAAGCAACAAAAAGGAGCTGAAAGATGTAAGAAGCTAAAACTAAAAACAGGAGAAGTTACACTGCTTACATAACTGCTGGGTGAAAACAAGAGCAGTAAAATTGTACATAAAGTAATATATCGGGTTTACTTTGTGCTCAGGTCTCTAATTAAAGCTAATCAGTTGAGTAGGACACAAAGCCTGTGGACCAGGTTTTACTTTTCAGCTCTAAATTCTAGCTTACATGAGCTCTTCCCAGTTAGCGGTGCTGGTTGTACCTGCAGTGGACAACGATGGGTCCAGTATCCTTAATGGTGCTCTGTGTGCAGTTGACTTCCTCCAGGAACCAGAGGACGCCACCGGGCTCGTTGGGGACGCCGTGGTCCGGCCAGCTCAGGTACTGGTAGTGCCAGATGTACCGCAGAGGCTCCTTCTACACAAACACAGCATGACAGGAAGTGAGGATGTTCTACTGGAACCAGAAAACTTCAGCAGCTTTAAATGGGTCAGAACAACCTCCACTGTTAAAGGAATTGAGAGCCAGAACAACTTCACTGTCATTTTCATGGCATAGTCTAACTGGTGAACACAAACAAATAAAAATATTAATCACTTTTAAAAAATATGTATTTAAAAACCCACATAATAACAAGAGAAGGAGCAGTTGTTTAGTCCAGTGCAGTAAAACCAGAGTAATACAGAAATAATAATGTATTTAAACACATTACCTTCACTTTTCAGAATGAATTATTGAAATAATTAATACTTATTTCCTCTGTTCCTGACATGAAAGTGTGTAAGGAGACAGAGTGTGCTGCTCTGCTGTGTTACTGGACTGTGCCGTTCACCTCTGCTGGTCACATGACCAACAGTAAGCCGCTCTGAAAACAACAACAGGAACTAATTACAGCACTGCTCTGATAAATCCATCTGTGTTTAGTTAGCATTCAAAATGAGCTGCTCCTTTATCACACTCTGGCTCTGCACTAAAAACCTGAGCCTGTTGGACATCTCTGAGGTCACTCTAATAATGGGCCAGATCTTTATTTTACTGACTTATATTTAGGTAAAATGCCTCCTTAAGATAGTTTCAGCAAGTAATAGGAAAACTCTAATTTGGAAATGACTACAAACTGACCACAGGTGAGAAATTCTAAAAAAAAAAGTACTATGAGGAGAAACTGATACGTTTACCTTGAGAACTGAGCTGGAGAAATGAACGAAATGCTGGAAAAAAATGAATATTTTTATAGAAACCAATAAAATATTAAACTGGGTGAATTTATCTGTCCATTTTAGTTACTTAGCTAGTTTTATTTTTTCATTTTGGTTAATTTTTTATTTTTATTTTACTGTACTGTTACACCCATGTTGTCCACATGTTCTTTGTAATATTTAAAATTAAAAAATAAAAATTCAAATGAGCCTGCTAGCAGCGCTAATAAGCTCTCATAATGCTGTAATTATACCTGTATTATAGCAAACATTGAATATTTATATTGAAATAAAAATATTTCAAAGCTCAATTTCCACTTGAATTGGAGCTTAAATGTGTGAAATGTTATGTTTTAGGTCTTATCAGTATTATAGTTATTATTAACTAATATGGTAATGCTTACAAAAATAAACCGCTAGGAAAGAAAAATTAATCTTTACACTATGTTCCAAATTATTATACAAATTAGATTTAAGTATCATAAAGATTCCATTTTTTGTTGTGCTATTAAATTTATAGATGGCATTGTGTGTCAGGGCTCTTTGAATAACTATAATTAATTTCAGAGAGCTGGGTTGATTAGTTTGTCTGATGAGCTCAATTAAAAGAAATCTACTTAAGGATGTTCCTTATCATTAAGAAGGCCACAGGTTTCAAGCAATACGGGAAAGAGAAAGGATCTCTCTGCTGACGAAAATCATCAGATAGTGTAGTGCCATATGACAAAGTATGAAGAAAACATTAGATATTTAACGAAAACTGAAGTGATATCGTACTGTGAAGAGCTTTGTGGCTGATTCAGAACAAAGATGGGTTTGTGCAGATAAAGGCATAATGAGGAAGGTTTCTGTTAGACAAATTCATCGGCTTAAGAGAGCAGCTCAGTGATTCTTGAGAATAGGGACAAAACAGGTCCTATTGATAAAGCACAAAATTTGAAAAAAAATATACACAAAATATAATTTTTTCAAATATCTGACTAAACTAACCTGGGTCATGTGAGCACAACAATGTGTGTTTCCTGGTGTTTCCTGAATATTTTGTATTTTAAACATTGTAGTCGTTGTCCTGGAGCAGAACTCAACACATTATAATAGTTTAAAACAATTAAAGAAATACTAAAATTATATATTATGAATTAAATATAAGTAGTCATATAAATAATTATACAAGTATCAAT